TAACCCGAGAAAAAATGCATAATAAATATTAAAATAATAATAATAATATAAAATTTCTTCATCATATTTTGCAGACTGAATATGCATCCACCAGATGAGGATGGAGAGCGAATGGCAAAAAAAAGGAAAAAGAAAAATCTCATTCAATTTAAATAAACATGTGTACAGGCACAATTCAGAATGAAATAAATTCTCCTCATATCTTTATTATAAGTATAAGTATATCCTTGGCGAGGAAAAAAAAATAAATATTTTCTTGTGTTCCATAAAAAAACGAGATTTCTCTTTCGATGGGAAATAAGAGAAGTAGGAATATGGCAGAACGTTACAACATCTCATAAATTTTCATTATGCTTTATGGCAACATAATAAAAAAATGTCACATAAACTCTTCATGCATCAAACGCACACGACAAACATAAGCGAATGCCTTATAGACTATAATTTTCCCTTTCAATGATAGCAAAAAAAAGGAACATGAAAGTGTGCTTAAGGATTTCGAGTTATTACATTTAGCGAGCTTCGAGAGATGGCAAATAGAAGTGTGTAGTATCTACGATATGATTGCGTTGGAATAAAAAGAAGCGCATAATTTTTTTCTAAGAAAAAATTGTCATTTAGTTGATGGAAGAGCGAAATTAAGAAGCTCAGGAGGGGTTAATCCTTGCAGCACTTTACGAGAAATCCAAGACGAAATTTTATTCGTCTAATTTATTTCAGATTATGGCCCGAGAAAGGCGAGATGATTGTTAACCATTTTTTATAGAGCTGAATAGAGAACTTTGAGTTGTATTCCCTTTGGGGGTTAAGGATTTATTTGTCGTATTCCTTAAAGTCTCCTTTTTATTCTAATCAAATTTATTTACACTTAGGCGGCAGCAAGAAAGGAGCAGTGAAATTGTCGGTTACACTATCGCTAATCCCGAACACAATCTTAAGGATTGTCTAGTCAGGTTCTTGTGTATCATTGAAATAAATTGAATCCAAGACCTAGTCATGAATCATGAGTACATTTTCCTGAAAACTTGCAAAATAAGGATTCTTATAACTTGAATTGTAACCTTTGCATTGGATCTGTGTCAGGTTTCTATCGAATTGGATTTTCTATGGGGCCGTTCACTTATTACGTTCGCATTTTAAGGGGGGATGGGGGTTTGAAAAATTGTAACAAAATGTAACATAGGAGGGGGGGGGGGGGGGGGGTGTCAAGAAGTATGTAACGTTCTAATTGTCGTCTGTCTTTTAAAATACGAAAAAAATGTGTTTACAAATTCACACCAAAAACATTTTCCACCTTTTTTAATGATTTATGAAAAATTATCAAAATAAAAAAAATTATGAACGTTCAGGGGGGGGGGGGGGGGGTGAGTTGTAACATATTGTAACAGGTGGGGAGGGGGGGGGGGGAGTTGTAACATATTGTAACAGGGGGGAGGGGGGGGGGTGAAAAAAGTCGTTATTTTGCGTAACGTAATAAGGGGCCATTCACTTATTACGTAACGCTTTTAGGGGGAGGGGAGGGTCTAAGATTTTGTTACGGTTCAAACAAGGAAATTTTTTTTTCATACACATTTTGTTACGAGGGGGGGGGGGGGTTAAGTGAACAGCCCCTAAGTGAACGGCCCCTATTGAAATCCATCGATATTCAATTTTAGGGTGCTCAAAGTAGCTCTAGAAACTTGTCCCTGCTTCCTCTTTTTGAATGATTTTGTATTTTTATTTAACAAGTCCTAGTCTTCATGTACCCAACTTCCCTTTAGTGAATCATTGTCAGGTATGTTTCACATAACTTTTAATCCTATTCAATTCTTAAAGGTAAGACTTGTGTAGACGTCATTATCTTAGGTTGTCACTTTCAGGTTTCTTTAATTATTCTCCCCATGACTAGCTTAACTTTAGCAAGCTACAACCCCAACCATGCTTTCACCTTATCATGTCTCTTTACAACCAAAAATTACAAGTACGCAATAAAAAGCTCCTCAGTCAACGTGGAATAATAAAAAAAAAATCATCAGATAGACAGACCAACTTAAAGCTCAATAAATGCTTCCAAACAGCCCCAACATTAAATTGTCATAAAAAATTACGATTATATGCGAACAGAGCTCTCATATAGGAATGAAATTAAAAGTTATTGTGAAGCTTTAATGTCCATAACAGCTGATGATGATGAAGTTATGTTGCCTATAGAAACTCCATAAGCTTATCGGGATCAAATTGATGAACAGCTGGAATAATTAATTATGATTAATTGAATCAAATTATTTTCTGGAACTAAGTAAATCGGATTTTGATGAGGTCATATACTATATTTATTCCTGCTTCATGAACACATGCTATGGAAATTTCGAATAAGTATAGAAACGTGATTATATGGAGAAAAAAAAGTTATTTCAGATGTGATGGATGTAGAAAAAACATATTAAGTCATCAAAAAAAGTTGGTAATTGCGCACTTGCTGAGATTTTGTAATAACATTTTTTTTTCTAAGACTATGTTTGAAGCTAGTAATTTGTCGTAAGGCTTATGTGCTCACCTGTCTTTCATTTGTCTTGGTACCTGAAAGTGTGTAAGCCAGACTGGCTGACTTTATGTCTCATGTTTTGTCTATTATTTGAAGTGTTGTTTTGTGACTTGATACTATTCTTATTTAGTTGTGTTTGTTGTTGTGTTCGGCTATTGTAAATATGTAAACTGTATTTATTAATGGTTTTTTTTTCAAATTTATTGCCATATTATTAGAATTATATTGTTTGCTAATATTGTAGAATTTTTAAGAAGCTTTTAATGAGTCGTTCATAAATCATGTCTAGCTTGTAGTAGGATGACAGTTCCTTTAACAGTATGTTCTTTTAAGACAAAATTTTGTGACAAATGAGTGAATGGGACTTCTTGATACTCCCAGATTTTGTGTGGACGATCCTTAAGTATGAAAGCCAGAGCCAGGCTCAGAGAATCTAGTGTAACCTGCACTATTCACAGCCAAATACTATTTATACTCTAAAGTATAGTAAATCGCGTTTCCATTTTGGCAAACAGTACCCCATAAAGCCTTAGAAACTAGGAGGAGAAAATTTGCAGGTTAAACTAGTGTATCGGGTAGAAACCCAATGCGGATATATTCACACCGTACCATCAATAAATTATGGATAAACCAAGATTTGCTCAGTATAAGTTTGAAAGTATAAAGCTAGCGAGTCAGCTGAGCTTTGCTCAGCATAAGTTTGAAGGCTTAAAGCTTGACGAGTCAGCAGAGCTTCGCTCAGCATAATTTTGAAGGTTTAAAGCTTAACGTCAAAAGTTGAATTTTATAAAAATCACAGTCAACTTTTTTTTTTGAAAAATTCGTGAGAAAGGAAAGTTTTTTGCTTTTTCTGAAGCAACGGCTGTTCCTACCTTGCCCAAAAACAATACAGCTCTTCTATAGAGCAGCACAGATCAAATGTAAAAAACTAGACGTCTCTACGATGTCTCGTTATTGAGATTTCTTGCTGATTAACGTGCTTGCTTGTTTGCTTACAGAAAGCGTATTTTGCGATTTTCTCAGCAATGCCTCAATCAATTTGAAATCTGTTTTTTGCAGATGATGTGAAATTTCAGGCACAAAATTTTTAATTCGAAAAACTGATTTTTCAATCTGAACAAAACCAATAGATTCACACGTGAATACGGTGTGAATATAATAATTTTTTTTAAAACTAAGCAGATTGCTCGAGATCTTCAATTTATTAAGTAACATGAGCTAGGCTGTTAAATTTAATTGAAACAATTGTAATAATTTATTCGTAGGATATCGAATAGTTGTAGATCCGTGATATCAAAATTCAGACATCTTGAATCTTACTCTTTAATTCATAAATGCATTTAATTAATTTAATTGTGCCTTGAAAGGTTTCAAAATTATTCCTTTTTGCACAAATTCGATATTTTAACAATTCATTGATTCATAAAAAAATCATATCCATTGCTCGCAATAATTTTTCACTTGATTACCTTTTAAATATCAATTTTCATTGCTAAAATTTCAGTTCTTCGGCATTTAATTGACTCTTATTTAACCTTGACATTATTCAACCTTCAAAATTTCCAAAAATTTAATCATGCTTTTTTACGTGCCTCACCCAAAACAACATAAACCAGTAAAAAATTATCAGCAGTCATCAAAAAAATTCTTAAAATATTCACAAGAATAACCCCAAGACAAGTCTATAAAAAATTCTCATCAAATTGCAGTCATAATAATTACTTAGCACAAATTTATTCCTAGAAGACCCCAAACAATAACAGGGGTTGATATTTATGCTGGTTAAAAAAAAGGTTAAAAATGGATGGGTCATAAATGATGTCTAATATTTGGATTAGGAATGAAGGGGTCCTGGGTAGGCCGACCGACAATTTTATGAAAATTGTGTAAATTTAAGGATCAAGTAGGAACTCAGTAAAGGGTTACAGACGTCCGGGGTCAAATCACCCTTTGCACCCTTTTGTATGAGATTGTTGTTTTTCTGTAGCTCCTTGCTTTTCCCAAACTAAATGGCACCCAAATAACCAAACCTTTATAGACGTCATTCTCGAACAACCTTTCAAAAAGGTATAGTCGATAAAAAATTTAAATACCAAAAAATTCTAGCTACCTGCAGCTATAATCAATAAAGTAATAAAGTTAATGAGTTCAGAAATCTCATCGAAATCAAGAGACTCAAAAAAAAATATTTTCAAGTGCTAAAGGAAGAAGGGAAGTGTGCACACACAAACACAACTATGCATGCTGTACGCCCCCTTTAGATTTCAAATACGACATATAATTCATGTCGCTCATGTTTCGATACTCAGTCTGTTGGGTATGTGCGTTGTGTTTATAGTAAATAAACTTTTTTCTCGTCCCGTGAAACTTTGTTAATTTTTTATTATTTTGTGTTTTAAATCAAAAAGAAGTTTCTGTTGATTTTTATTTGAAACTTTTAATTGGAAATTTTTCATAAAGCTGTCAGGCAGTCGAGGCTGTTGAATTTTTTTCGTTCATTCCCATAAAATACAATTTTGTGTTATTTTATTTGTTCATAAATATTCAACCATGTCAATTATGGATGCATTAATTTCCTTAATGGAAGTTAAATTGGACATTGGAACTGAAGACATCGACGATGATTTACGAGTAAGTTTTAAGTATTTTCATTGAAAAAACTCAATTTTTTTTTTAACACTGCATCATTTTTCTCATCCACAACAGATTTGGAATAAATACATGACGAAAATTGATATTGTCGATTCCCATCCATGTCACATCAAGATAACGTTCCATAAAGCTACAACGCCCGATGAATCGTTTTTTGTGTTGAGACTCAATACATCTGGCGCTAAAGTCTACACAGTCAAGTCAAGAACAAAAAAATTTGTATACGGCATGTACTTTTGGCAACAACAAAAACAATGCATTATTTTTTTCTCATTTGATACAAAAGTACGAATGAAGGCGCACATGACTTGGACGGAATTGCAAATACAAAATTTAGAAATGCATAGACGAGAATCGATTCACGAGCGGAACACATTTGATAGCTTCATTTACCAAAATAATTGCAATAATTTAAATAATCCACCCGATATTTGCTCTATGGCAAATGAAAAGACTTCCATGGCACAGAGAGCGTCGATAATGTCGGGTATTTACGAGGAGATTATGGAAAATTCAAGGTAATTGCTAATTTTGTGTTTTCCATTAAAAAAATATTAAGGCTTGGACACGAACAGTATAGCTTTGTTATCTTGCAACTCACTCGTATGTCTGTTTGCATTTTGTTCATGACGTCTCGATATCTGGAGCAGTTTGTAAAACACATGTCTGACATCTGTAAAATTGAAGGTCTATTAACATTTGTCGCGTCCTAAAACTGAATTTTATTATTGCAATGTCTAGATGCTTCATATTCATTATAATTTTATGACAATTTTTTAAATTCATGTCCTGTTGTGATCCTGCAGGATATTTGGATAGTTTGAGTTTATGGCAGGGATAGTTATCTATGGTTATTGGTGTATGGAAGGGGTGACAATTATTTTTAAATGGGATGTAATAAATTTATTTTATTTTACTAATTTAACTTAAAGGTTGTAGATTAAGTAATTTGTTCTGCAGGGCTATAGTCTTGTTGTTCTCGTCCAGTAATGGCTCCGAATCAATTAAAAATCATCTTTTGTACTGATGTGTGCCTTATTCAATGGATTTATGCTCGATAAGAATCGAACTTCTTTGAAACTTCAAAATACAATACTTTACAGCAGTGTTGTCCAAACTTTGTGCCGCGGCACACTAGTGTGCCGTAGTAATTTTTTGAAAATGAAACGAGCCGCATTCTGGATCCGACTTTCGTCATGGCTTATCTCTAAGATGTGCCGTAGTTAAAAATGTTTGGACAACACTGCTCTATAGCCATATCTACAACCTCCCTTAAAAACAAACAAATAATCTACCAGAATCTTCTAAATAACCTCCAAAGTGTCCAAGCATCAACAAAAAAATTTTATAATTCATCCACTAATCTCACACATTCTGTTGCTCTTTCCTAAATAGATGCAAATTAAATTCGATGAAATTTAATGAGCCTCCACCATTACCACCACCGCGTAAGAGATTAGACACGGAAAGTAGTAGTTTACCTCGTACTTATACATCTGAAAGTGAATATTTGGCAAAGAAAAAATGGAGATTATTCAAAAGAGCTAAGAAGCGAGATAAAGTATCATATCAGCCAAAGGAATTACACAAAAGGAACAGCATATCAACACCTGATCTATATTCACCAGATATTGAGAATTTAAACGTATCAAGTAAATTAAATTCAAGTAATTCTTTCGAATTAGATTATTTGTACAAGGACAATGGAAAGTTAAGCGACGAGGAGGACTATTTAAAGAACATATCCAATAATATAAAGTTCAATTTTGAACCAAGCTTTAACGAGGACATATCAAAAGTAAATCTTGTTGGTAGCTGCTTCAATTTAGACAAGACGATTGAAAAGTGCGATGAATTGAAGGAACTAGATAGTCAAATGCTCAAAAATGATATTCTATATAGACTAAAGTATTCATTTAATAGTCCAATAACTATAAAACGTGAATTCGATTACGATTCACCCACAATGATGAAGAGAATCAATGAGAATGAGTGTCATTACATGCCAATGAATAATGGAAAGAAGAACTCACCGAAGCATATGCAATTACAGCAAGCTAATGATGATGAGAATGCATATGTACCAATGAATTTTGCTAAACAATGTGATGATGAAATTTCACGTGAAAATACGAAGAACAAAAGATATTCGATAGACGATAAAATTCCTTCCTACTACCCCAATTATGATCTTCCAGCGAAAATTGAGAAATCACCTCCGTCTGAAATTAATGGCAATAAATCAAGTCACATAACCAGTTCATTAGATAAGGAAAAATCACTGTCATTAAATAAAATCAATCGAAGCGACTCATTTCATTCAAAGAACTCCCAGACACCACTCAACCCGAATATCTTGAGGAAGTATGCTACGCTGGATAGAGTATCGTCATCTGCTGATCGATTAAAAGAGAATCGTTCAAGAGACAAGTTCGATAGTGTCTCCATATCAAGCACATTATCACGATTGAAGAAGCTTAACTTCTCGCCATTAAGGGAGAAAATATCGAATGTTATACAGAGAAATAACTCGAAATAATTATCACAAATTGATATTAGAATTGGTAATCGATAGAATATTGGTGGCTACAAAAAATTATCGATGATATTAATAAGGTTGATGCTCGGCTATTAAGCAATGGATATTGGAAAAATTTGAGCTTGTTGCGGTGTTGGGGAATTTTTGTTGGGATTTTATTGGCGAAAGGCAAAGGTTTTGGGAATTTTTGAGATATTAGGTTGACATTTTTGAAATTTGAACTTCAACGGCTTATTATTTTTATTTTTGAAATTCATACGCTGTCAATTTTTAAACTTTGAACTTAAATGGCTGAAAGTTTTTGAATTTTGAACTACAACTATTGACAATTTTTGAATTTTTTACTTTAGCGGTTGACAATTTTTGAATTTTGAAATTTAAAGGTTGACAATTTTTGAATTTTGAACTTACATTGTAAAAGATTTTTGAATTTTGAACTTAACGGTTGATAAGTTTTGAATTTCGAACTTCAACGGTTGACATTTTTTGAATTTTGAATTTTAACGGTTGACAATTTTTGAACTTTAACTGTTGACAATTTTTGAATTTTAAACTTAAAAGGTTGAAGATTTTTGAATTTTGAACTTAACGGTTAATAATTTTTGAATTTAAACTAACCGATCCCCAATCCTGACAAAGCATCCCCCAACAAAAAATTAAATTAGAAATTAATAAGGTACTATACGCTTGCTTCAAGCTATTTCTATAGCATCTATCGATTACCAATTCACGTCATACACAGTACAAACAAGTATTAAAAATCAAAAATTGTATTGAATTTTTTTCGCAAAAAAAAGAAATAAAAAATTGTGAGACTGCTTTTATGCTAATCATTTATTATATTATACTTGACGCTTTAAATTGTTGCTTTTTGTAAGCTCGGCTTATAAAAAAAAAGGAATAAAGAAGAATAAAAAACAAAATATTTGACGACTTAAAACAAGTGGAATTTTCGTTCTTTTTGAGCTGTGTGTGGCGCTCAATAGCACCAGGTCATGTGAATGGTTTTTTTGTTGTTGTTCGAAACTTGATGTGAACAAAGTTTAGCTGCCGTCATGAGACATGAAAAAATCACGAGCTATTGTTTGATTTAGAAGCTTGTGTTGAAGAGTCTCGTGTAGTCTATGAAAATGTAAGAATTTTGTAATTCAAGTTTTTTTGAAGACTTGTTAATAATTTTTTATTTATTCTTGGTGGGTTTACCTGTTGCGTCATAAAACCAGTTAAATTATTTTTTTGAATTGAATTGATTTTTATTTGATTTTAATATTTTAACTGACAGTTGATATTGTAGCTTCATGTATTGAATGATTTGTCTGTTATATTGATTAATTGATCTCTATTTGAGACAGCCACAAGCGTGGACGTAGCCAAGAGAGGAACAGTACAGGATCTTATGTGGCCTGGAAAACCATGGGTTTAAAAAAGACAACTAAGGATGACTGATCGAGCACTGCAAGTGTTCTTTTAATGAGTCCAAAATAACCCTAAATACACTATGTTTCCCAATATTCAAAAAAAAATCCAATTTAAACTTTTACATCAGAAATATTTACCTGCTTAATATCCACCACCTAATTTGAATTATTACACTAAGTTAAAGCACCTTTGCATTCTTTTATATTATTCAACAAACAAACGTGAACAGACAAGATAAAACAATCATTTATACCTAAATATTCAGCATAAATTATGTAAATTTTCCCACCCCAAATAATTATTCATAAAACTATCAAATTCCATTAAAGGCACACACATCTTTCCGTCCAGCAGATATCATAATTTACATACTCAGATCTGATCTCAACATTCACTGATTCAATTTGAGTTCAATAACAACAAGAAGTGCAAATATTTATTTGATGAATATTTCAGGAACTTTATGAGTGAATTTCATTATAATTGCAACATTTTCATATTCAATTATGAACACGAGTAGATTCAGTTTAATGTATGAAAATTATATCGTAAAACCAGGGGTGTAGGAAAAAAAATTTATCAAAAATTATCAAAGATGATTGGTAAGTTGAGCACTTTTGTTGACGAAGGGGTGCTTAAGTGGCTCATTAAACGACGAAGCAGTTCACATGGTAGCCAAGGTGTCTTGATGGTTACTAGAAATCCCAACTTGAGATTGACGCTTAGCTTGAGACTAGATTGTGCTTGATTAAGTCTAGATTGAAACCAGTTTAAGGTTAGCTCGAGTTAAGCTTAGAGCTAGAATGATCTAAGATCGTTTAGTAACTTTATTAATAAAATTTCGATTAAGACAATTGAATGACAGCTTTGTGGACAACCAAATATTATTCAAAAAGCAATACTACGGCACTAGCTAGTAGCTACCAGTTATTGCTAATCGGATAATTCAAAGAGCTTTTCCAAAAGCACATAATGTGGTTCGGCCTATTTTAAAAGAGCCCTACCAAATTTAATAACACTTGTTGAAGAGGTCTCTTTGATCCACAATTCCAAAATCCTTCAATCCACCGCCTCTAAATCAGTGCTACTCAAACAATGCTACGCTTTACACTTAAACCTTCATTTATGTTGCAACAAACATGACATGTGTGTTTTGTCATTCACACCAGTAATTGATACTGTGTCAAAATCGAAAAAGCTTAAGAAGCACTGCTCCTTACTCCATCCCTGCAGCAAACATTTATTTCCATTTGTTAAAGAAGAAATTCAATATTTTTCGAAACTCTCTGACACAAATTTCAATATTTATGGAATAGAGAAAAGAAGCTTTTGATTTACGATGCAAAAAAACATTCAAATTAGAATATTTATCGAATATCAATTGAAACAATTTTTATTTGAATGGAAAAGAGACAGAAAAAGTTTCAAGCATATAAAATTTCACGTACCCAAAATTTTACTTGAATGTGTTTAACGTGTTTATTGTCGTATTTATTTACGCGATGTGGAAAAAGATATTGTGAAGCTTTAATGATCATAATTTGTGCATGCATGTATGCTTGAGAAAATTTTTTGCAAATGATGTAGCTTTATTGTGCTTGAGAATCATGGGAGTTCACAAACAATTAATTTTTCCGGTAGAAATTGTTTAAATACAAATGTTGAAGATGTAGGAGATAGTAAGTGACTTTTTTTAATATTTTATACAATTGTGATACTTGAAATTGACAACAATTCATAAAAGTTCCGGTTTGTTGCTGGTTTCTAAAAACTACTCGGGGCACCCTAACCTAGAAATCAATTTTTGTGCCTGATAATATGATAGAGTGTCCTGAATTTCGCTAGAACCTGGCTCAGAGGGTAATTTCAGCCATTTAAAGCAGTAGCTTCCAAAATTCCAAAACAAACTAGTGTGCTGCTTGGTCCATAACCTCAAAATTCATCTTAATTCCTTTAACATATTGTCAAACCTCCCAAGATCAATGTTTTCCACAAAAATTACTTCAACTTATTGTTTACATAATTAATTAGCCAGTCGTAAGGCTTCACCGCTATCGATACCAAACATCAAGCATCAGAATAAAGCACTTCAACTCCCACCATACAATTTTTTTTCCGAGAACCATTTAGAAGCATTTATGTAATGTCAATATTCATATTTTTCAGCTATATTAAATTTCAAAACGCGATTGCTTCTTTTCCGCTTTACAGCCAATAAGCACAAGCACGTGAATTTCCTATGCTCTTTGATGTTAACTGAGAAAATTGAAGCAGAAAAAAGAATATGTAAAGAAAAAAAATGTTTTTTTATTGATACAAATAATTTTCTTTGATAATGGAACCTAAATTGAGACATTGTTTTTGGGCATGAAAGCTTTACAATTTGTTATCAAAATAAGCTGATATAAAGGGAAGTGAATGTGTGAAAACAGATGCTACTGTAGATCTCCATATAACTGCCATATGTGTATACGATGGGAATTGAAACCACGAACTCAAAAGAGGCGACTTCTTGATCTGAGATCCCTGCCACTCGGCCAACGAGCTGCTTTACTTCTTTGGCTATCCGTCATACACATACAACCAGTTTCACAGTGAGCCCTTTACTCAGGTCTATCAACTATTGATATGCTCTTCAAGCCATATCCACAAATATGCTTGTGTAGTTTATTCGAGTCCTTGTCAGAAAGGTAAAGCATGGAGAGGGCCTAGCCTTTTTGAACTGGAGGCACTGCGATTAAAATTAGTCCTTTCCAGATATAGCACCAAACTTAACATTTCTTCTTCGAACCAACAAACCATAAATCTTTTTGTTTGATTAAGCTTCTAAATCAGTTTACTGTCCTCAATTCCCACTCCTTTATCTTTAAATGAAAACAATTAAACCTGAAATGCTTCACTCTCCAAACAGTGTAAATTAAATTAGTTCCGATTTTATCGTCGTAAACAACAATTGTTTATTGACATAATTGAACGGTATTGCCGTAATTTCTTATTCCTCACAAACAAATTTCCAGAATAACGATAAGAATTCGAAGAGAACAAGAAGGTCGATAAGATGTACAATTGGTATAATTCATCAGGCGTTTAGTAAACAAAACAAACAGCGAAAAGAAAGTCACAAATTGACATTAAAGTCAACAATAGGATTGTGGTTCATGGGACCGACAAAAAATTTGGCCAAAATTTGGCCAAATTTTTACCCAAATTTTTACCCAAATTTAGCCAAATTTACACCCAAATTTGGCCAAATTTTTCCTGAAGAATTGTTTGAATAATATTTTTTGAAAAAGTTCTCCCAAATTTGGCCAAATTTTTATCCGAATTTGGCCAAATTTTGAACCAAATTTTCATCCAAATTTGGCCAAATTTTCACCCAAATTTTCATCCAAAATTTGGTTAAATTTTTAACCAAATATTGACCAAATTTTTGTTCAAATTTTGTTTTTTTTTTGAAAAAATTGAGACAGTTTTTTAGATTCTTGTCGACTGTAACGTATTCAGAAAGAAACAAATTTCGTTCTTTGGTGTACTGGAAGTACGCGGACAGGATATGTCCAATCGACTTGAAACTCTGCCTGAATATTGTCCTAATATAGGTTATTTTAGGTCATCAATCAAAACTTTTTGGTCATGTTTAGTTCCCGAGATACAGCATGTGCCATTTTGTACAGCCACAAAATTGGAAGTACGCGGGCGACTTTTCATAAAACCATGAAATTATTAATGTTATATATTAAAACACATCTACGATTTATGTCCGATTTATGTCCGCCAAAATTTTTGGAATCGGACCTTTGGATGCAAAGTTACAGCCATAAGAAGTTTTAGGACGGGATGTCATGCACTTTTTTTTTCAATTTTTTTTAAACTAATCATGTTATATGTCTAAAAGAATCTAAATTTTACAAGGAATTCAAATCTTATAAAATGTATTTGATATGACTTGTCATTTTTGAAATATGGCAGTTCCAACACAACATATTCGTACCTGAATCACAAAAGTTTCAAAACTTTGTCTATAATATGTTATATATCAAATCATATTTATTTTCAACGGGAATTATTAATTTGCAAATATATTTTGGAACTGGTCGGTCACAAGTAAGTTATATCCAATCAAGCTATAGCAAGAAAGTTTAAAGATACAAGAAAAAATTATCGAGCTAGGTATTTTTGTCTAAAAATTATTTAAAAAAATTTAAGATAAACTCAATTTAATATCCAGTTCGAAAAAAAAGTCTGGTTTCGCAAGAATTTTAAGAAAATGACCATTTTTCCTAGGTTTTCCAACGTTGACAGGTGGAAAACAACTATTAAAATTTTTGAGAATTTCGAAAAATGACTTTCCATTCCCCAAATTGCTTATGTTGTGTGATCACGCTTTTTGCAAAAAAAATAACAAATTTAAGTTTTGGTTTTTTAAGTTTTAAAAATACTAATGAAATTAGATTAAACATTTGTTTTGAGATTCATGAAGAAGTTTAAAATCTTCTCAAAATAGGCGCAAATAGTAGATATCTCGTAAACAACGATTCAATTTTAAAATTCCATAATTATTTTTTGAATAACATGGATAAAGAAATAAAAATTAGTAAAGAGGTGATCACACGTAATCGATTTTTTTTTTCGATTAATTTATTTATCTTTTTATTTTAGACAAAAATACCTAGCTCGATAATTTTTTCTTGTATCTTTAAACTTTCTTGCTATAGCTTGATTGGATATAACTTACTTGTGACCGACCAGTTCCAAAATATATTTGCAAATTAATAATTCCCGTTGAAAATAAATATGATTTGATATATAACATATTATAGACAAAGTTTTGAAACTTTTGTGATTCAGGTACGAATATGTTGTGTTGGAACTGCCATATTTCAAAAATGACAAGTCATATCAAATACATTTTATAAGATTTGAATTCCTTGTAAAATTTAGATTCTTTTAGACATATAACATGATTAGTTTAAAAAAAATTGAAAAAAAAAGTGCATGACATCCCGTCCTAAAACTTCTTATGGCTGTAACTTTGCATCCAAAGGTCCGATTCCAAAAATTTTGGCGGACATAAATCGGACATAAATCGTAGATGTGTTTTAATATATAACATTAATAATTTCATGGTTTTATGAAAAGTCGCCCGCGTACTTCCAATTTTGTGGCTGTACAAAATGGCACATGCTGTATCTCGGGAACTAAACATGACCAAAAAGTTTTGATTGATGACCTAAAATAACCTATATTAGGACAATATTCAGGCAGAGTTTCAAGTCGATTGGACATATCCTGCCCGCGTACTTCCAGGACACGTTCTTTGTCGTTAAGTGAAACGACAGTTTTCATAAAATTTAAATTCATAGTACCGAACATACAAAGAAGGCCATCACTCGGAGTGATGACGAGAGTGATGACAATCACTTAGGAACTCACTGACTACCATCACAGTGAGTACAACAATGATGCCCATCACTCTCGTCATCACTACTGTACTCACTAAAACTAAAATTTTTCTAATGTCAAATTTTTTGTAACTACAATCATAATGGTAATCACAACTGCCATCAGTGATGGCCATCAAAAAAAAAACTTGAAACAAAAAATGATTACAATCACGATGGCAATCACGACTATCATCACTGATTGCCATCACTTGATGACCAGAAAAATTTTTGTTAAAAAATGTTTGATTACAATCACGAAGGCAATCACGACTATCATCACTGATTGCCATCGCTTGATGACCAGAAAAATTTTTGTTAAAAAATGTTTGATTACAATCACGATGGCAATCACGACTATCATCACTGATTGCCATCACTTGATGACCAGAAAAATTTTTGTTAAAAAATGTTTGATTACAATCACGATGGCAATCACGACTATCATCACTGATTGCCATCACTTGATGACCAGAAAAACTTTTGTTAAAAAATGTTTGATTACAATCACGATGGCAATCACGACTATCATCACTGATTGCCATCACTTGATGACCAGAAAAATTTTTGTTAAAAAATGTTTGATTACAATCACGATGGCAATCACGACTATCATCACTGATTGCCATCACTTGATGACCAGAAAAATTTTTGTTAAAAAATGTTTGATTACAATCACGATGGCAATCACGACTATCATCACTGATTGCCATCACTTGATGACCAGAAAAACTTTTGTTAAAAAATGTTTGATTACAATCACGATGGCAATCACGACTATCATCACTGATTGCCATCACTTGATGACCAGAAAAATTTTTGTTAAAAAATGTTTGATTACAATCACGAAGGCAATCACGACTATCATCACTGATTGCCATCGCTTGATGACCAGAAAAATTTTTGTTAAAAAATGTTTGATTACAATCACGAAGGCAATCACGACTATCATCACTGATTGCCATCGCTTGATGACCAGAAAAATTTTTGTTAAAAAATGTTTGATTACAATCACGAAGGCAATCACGACTATCATCACTGATTGCCATCACTTGATGACCAGAAAATTTTTTTGTTAAAAAATGTTTGATTAAGAACCGGTAGAAAATACGCTTCAAAACAGACAAGGTATTACAGAAGAAAACATATCTTAATATCTGAAGACGAAGATGAAGGTGATCAAAATATTACAAGTGGGCATTCATATGAAGCATTTGGTACTCAAACAGAAGATACGCATGCAGAAACCTCTGAGCCAATGGAAACACACGAAGAGGAGTCTAATTTAACTGATTACGCGAGCAGTTTGGACTTTGATTCAGATTGCGACATTGACATAAATGATAGTAGCGATGATATGGAAAGTTTATATGATTCAGAGGACTTTGAAGCAGATGAACAAACCAGACCAGATTTAAAAAACGATTTGATGTCATGGTATTTGAAAAATGACTGTATAAGTAAGAACGCAATGGGATCCCTGTTAAAAATTTTAAAACCGCATCTTAAAAATCCTCACGAGCTTCCAGTTGATGCCCGAACATTTTTAAAAACATTTGATAAAGTGGAAATGAAGAAAGTTTCTGGAGGAGATACTGTTTATTTGGGAATTGAGCGCATTATAAACTTTTTCATAAGAAGCAAAATTCAATTGCCGGAGGAATTAATATTCGATATTAACATTGACGGTGTTGAAGTTTTTGTAAATCCATACACTAAAAGGACAATGTGGCCTGTTCTCTGTGTTTTCAGGAATATCAAGGGGTTTGAAAAAATGGTGTTTCCTATTTCTTTCTACTGTGGAAGTCAAAAACCAACTACATTGGATTTTCTGGACACATTCATAAATGAATACCAATTAATGGACCAAAATTATTAATGGAAAAACAGTTTTATTTCTATATCACTGCTATAATAAATGTTGGCTACCATCATTTTCGGTATTACTGACTGTAATTACTCATGGTAGTCAGTGATGGTAATCAGTGATGGTAATCAGTGATGGTAATCAGTGATGGCACTGAGTACATATGATAAAAAGTTAATTAAGTTAACTAATAATCTGATGAAGTTAGAAGAAAGAATCGAAAAAATTATTGCAAGTTTATAAGAAAATTTCAAACCATTTTTACATGCCAATTTGCCATATAAAAAATATTAATTTATTACAGACATTGGCTTAGAGGATAAGTGAGCGGTACAACAACGAAGAGCGATCTGGAGGGCGTGAGTTCGAATCTCGGCGAAAGCGGAAAAATTTTAAGTATATAAAATTTAATCTAATCATTACTAATAAATCTTAATGTTTAATTCTAGCAATCTTAGTACAAAAAGATCCTCTAAGCCAATAAACAGTCATAACAAGTTCCTTAGGATTAATTAAAAAATATTTTTTTAAACTTTTTTATGGCAATCACTGGTTGCCATCACTGATGACCATCATAATTGTCATCAGTGATGGCAATCAGTTATTACAATCACTGATGGTAATTACTGACTACAATCATAATTTTCATCAATGATGGCAGTCATGATAGTCATCAGTGATTGCGTATTATCAAAAGCGCACTATCTGTGTGTGTCATCACTGATGGTAATCGTGATGACCATCAGTGATGGCAATCACAAGGGTAAAGTAGCGGACTCACTAAAATGTATGTGAGTGAGTACAGTCAAATACAGGCCATCACTGGCTTGAGTGATGGTAGTTATGATTGCCATCTTTGTATGTTCGGGAGTATTATTTCAAATTGTTAGCTTCATAAATTTTAATCGGATCAACGAGATTTTTTAGTTATTTAAAACTGATTTAATAATTTATTGATGCTTATTTCTCCAAAATTATTCATTTCTTAAAGAAATTACTTAATATAATTCAAAAATCTTAAAAATATTTTACTGCTTGTTGAAACGCATTCAGTTTCACTCCAATGATTTAATTAGAGGAGGTTTGAAGAGTCTGATGGTGGCGTATGGATCCATTTTACTCAAATTTTTTAAACTATTTATTTATCTTTTCAAATATTTCTAAAAATATTTTGAAAAATTATACTTCAAATTTATTTTGTTGAAAATTAAACATCGTGAATATTCTCTGTTTTAAAATCTTTACGAGATTTGTAAAACTTCTTAAAAGTTTAAAAAATTTTTTTCAGAATCAGATACATTTTGTTTTCAGTTTCAAAAAATAATTATAATAAATTTCCAAAAACCAAAAAAAACCTGAATGCAAAATTATTTCGCTATATAAAAGTTTAAGTGACAAAAAAAGATTAAGATTTTTGCTTTTTCTGATGCAACGGCTGTTCCTACCTTGCCCAAAAACAATACAGCTCTTCTATGGAGCAGCACGGATCAAATGCAAAAAACTAGAGGTCTCCACAAGGTCTCGTTATTGAGATTTCTTGCTGATTAACTTGCATGCTTGTTTGCTTGCTTACAGAAAGCGTATTTTGCGATTTTTTCAGCAATGCCGCAACCAATTTGAAATCTGTTTTTTTGCAAAAGTTGTAAAATTTCAGGCACAAACTTTTCTTCAAGGATGCGAATCAAAACCAATAGATTCACACTTAAAAATCAAAATTTAAAACGTTTCATATGAGATTCGGAAAAAAATACTTAATTTGCAATGTTATTCCCTATTAGGGCAATTCTTTGGATGAGTGGAATTTGAAAAAAAATGAGCTTTCATTATCCAATGTCAATGAGTTTTGTGTCAATAAAATGTCTTCTTTAATTTCATATTACTGTGAAGGAATAATAAGCCAGAACATTCGTAGATCATAAAGCATAAATAATTCTTTACAAGTGATCTATTGAAATGTTACAACTCACCCAAATTAAGTGAAAAATTGAAAAAATATGTTTGAAAGTTTTGTATTTTTTCACGGATTAAGACAAAAAAAGCTTTTTTATAACTCGACGAAACAAGGAAATTTTTCAAAGAATTGAAATATTTCATTATTTAATGACTTAAAGCACGCATAAAAGCAACCTAATTAAAAATTTTTGTCTGTTCCATAACTCAGTAAAATTATTCAATGTGGATATCAATAGTTTTCTCTAATCTTCGATTCTTCGGATGATGCAAAATTGAAAATTCCGATTTCTGTCATCGAGTTATTGACTGAAAAATCCAAATAACTTAATTAATACAGCGATTACAAGTGTATGATATCAAAAGTAGTGTGCATTTTAGATTTTTACATCGATAAGACTCATAAAATCGGTGTCTCTGATGGGAAAAATCAACAAAATTTCGATTTTTTGCTGAAAATTTTCCAAAAGTCATCCAAAGAATTGCCCATAAATAGGGTAACAAGATATTTTTTGAAAAATGGTCAAACCTAAAATTATGCATCTTTATTGAATTAAATATCTCTTAAAAGAAAAAAAAAATCATCAATAATATTAAATTGAAAAATTCAGATTTCAATAGGATTTTTAAGACTTAATAAGCAGTTTTCTGTTGACTTGGTAGTTTAAATCAGTTTAAATATGCAAATCTAAGCTTAACTTAGCTAACAACAGCTAGTAGGATATCGAAATAGAAACCTAAAGTAGAGAAACCAAAGATTTTTTTCATAAACAAATTGTAAACAAATTTTTGGTGAGAATAAATTAAAGATTTTGTGGAGTTAGACATTAAATTGGGACAAGATATGTTCACAGGATATGTTTCAAGTTGAGATCTTTAATCTCATTCAAAAATTGAAGTTTAATTAATATGATATTTCTGAATTTTTAAACATTTTTTCCGTATCTGAATCACTGTGGAATGCTGTGGATATATTTCAGCAGATTTTTAAAACTGTAGTTATTTTAAAACCCTGCATAAGTTGCAGTTCATATACAAACAAAGCGTAGCGCTTAAAGCAATTAGTTTAAATATTATGAAAAAATTAATCGTTTTTATTTAAACTTAAAACTACAACTGTCTCAATTTTTTCAAAAAAAAAAACAAAAACTTGAACAAAAATTTGACCAAATTTTAATTAAACATTTGACCAAATTTTAATTAAACATTTGACCAAATTTTGGATGAAAATTTGGGTGAAAATTTGGCCAAATTTGGATGAAAATTTGGTTCAAAATTTGGCCAAATTCGAATGAAAATTTGGATAAAAATTTGGCCAAATTTGGCCAAAATTTTGGGAGAACTTTTTCAAAAAATATTATTCAAACAATTCTTCAGGAAAAATTTGGCCAAATTTGGGTGAAAATTTGGCTAAATTTGGGTAAAAATTTGGCCAAATTTTGGCCAAATTTTTTGTCGGTCCCATGAACCGCACCCCAACAATAGCTTTAATATTTGAAAACCTAATTGAATGTTTTTATTTCAGTCCACAAACCAAATTCCTAATACTTAATCAATACTAAATTGATGACAATTTATCGATATCAAGCCACAGTTGCCACATTTAATTAAATCAAATTCATCTCTAATCAAAAAAGTTTCAAACATTCATCCAATTGTAAAATTCCATTATTAATTCAGTGCTCACATGAAATTCGATGGAAATTCCCCAAATTCTTAACGCTCTGATAGCTGACAAAAAAATTCTATATTGACGTCATAAATGAATTCCCCAAACGCAATTTTCACGTTACCTCTTTTGGGGAGTCATTCATTTATTACGTTAGACAAAAATTGACTTTTTAAGAACCTTCGTGCCTAAAGTATTGAGTCAATGACTCCTTGGCAGCTGTTCATTTTGAGGCTGTGTGAAGTACTCCGGTCCAAGTTCGAATTTCGAGCTGAAACTTGGCTTGTTTATCGACGCTTTTGCGACAATTTTTGACATCTATTAAGTTTTTTTCGACACCCTTTAGTTGGAACTTAGATCAGAGTACTTCACACAGGCCATTATTGAAGGGAAGAAGCTAGGATGGGGGGGGGGGGGGGGGGGGGGAGGGTTTGAACTTTTGTTGCAGATCAAACCCAATTAAATGTTATTTTATGTGGTGTTTGATATGAAGCCATAGAGGCTCCTTAGATGCCTTGATACCCAGATATGTGTTACGGAATATATAAACATCCCCCATGCGTATCAAAAAAACTTTCCCAATTTTCCTCCTATCAGAAGCATATAACTGCTTATTCTTCTCAACTGTCATCAACATTACATAACATAATAATAATGATGATAGGAGCATTGCTCGTTCCTTATTGTTTCCCTCTGATATGTATGAAAAAAATAAAATAACAAGGAAGTATAAGCGCGCCTTTAAGGTATATAAGGTAACGATGCGAGTAAAATAAAGGAAGTAGATGGAAATAGTGCGAGGAGAAAATGACTTCATTATGACAATGAAAATCACTTTTCCTCTAACAACGGCACTAAGTAATTTGAGTCAATTTTTATTTGAGTGAATGAACAAATTCCCCTTCAGCACACAATAATTTCTAAACTCTACATCCTTGTTCACTCCCCTGAATCGACTATAACGTGTAATTTTGCAATAAAAATTTTCACCTATTAGTCTATAATTTTTTTTTTCTGTAGCTGAATGTTTACTCATATGGAAGTGATTGTTGGTTTTGGCTTGTGTTTTGTCGGAATGGGTTGTAAGTTATGTTAGGAAAGTGATTTGACATAGTTATTGAATGTAATTTATTGTGTTTGACATTTCTTAGGTTTCAATGTGGAACTAAGCATGATTTAAGCTGGATCAATAGTTTTATAGTATTTAATCAGGAATTCGAGCAATACTTTTTTAATTGGATGAGCTTTTATAGACATGCATGTGCTAAAAGTTAATCGAAAGGCTCGAAGGTGATTATGGATTCAAAACTCGGTTTGAAGGTTTGAGTTTCGAACCTTCAAAGTCGATATTTCATGACAAACGCTAGGCATTGAAGGAGTTTACCATAATATC